GTCCTTTTTTCTTGGTTGATCAATGTCTTTTCCTGGTTATCATGTTTCTTCTCTGAGCTTGGTTTGTTTTTAGCAGAAACTTCAGTACCGTATCTATTTTGACAAAATAAAAATTAAAAGGTCAGATAAGGAACCATTCAAGGGCTGAAACAAAACAACATGCTGTTTAAATATTTCAAAACCACCCAAATCAAAAGCTTTTCTTTTCTCCTAGTAATTGTGAAATAGATTCTCATAATGAATTCAAAGTTTTCCTCCCTTTAAATAGATATTGCCAGGTAAGTTATTCCTTTGGTAGTTTAAACAAAAATTAAAAATCCACACAATAGTCACTCGTCCATTCCAACGTTTTTTTCTGATTTTCTTGGGACTCGTTTTCTTTCACAATGTCTTCATTTCCTTCCTGCCACCCTTTCTAAGCTATAAATGGGATGCTATATTATACAGTTCCTCAAATACTTCAACTAATTTTTCCTTTAAATCAGCAGTCCCCAACCTTTTTCACACCAGGGAACAGTTTCATGGAAGACAATTTTTCCACGGATTGAGGTGGGGTGGGGTGGAGTGTTGTGGGTAGGGGGAGGGTGGTGCTGAACTCAGGTGGTGATGGGCAGCAGGTTTCCTAACAGGCCACGGATCGATACCAGACCCTAGACTGGGGGTTGGGGACCATAGCTATAAATGATACAGTTCTTGCAACCTTCCTAAAACGCAGCAATTTAACTTCTTGTAGACCTTCCCAGCACGAGAATTTCGAAAATACAAAGATGACTCTTCTCATGTCTGGATACATTAATATTCATACCATTTAGCTTTCTTGTCAAAATATGCCATTTAAATTTTTAAAAAAATTTTTCTACAAATCGTTTGATCTACATAAGAAAAAAATTACTTCAAGGCTAAATTTCACTTACTGAAAAGTCTAAAGATGTATTTTTATTATCTTTTTTAGCTAATGCTATGAAAGAAGTGTTAGTCTTTGCCTATCCCTTTAAAAGAACACTTTTTTTGTCTTACCCATGATCCTCAGGAGCAAACCAAGATATCTGTGCTTCTGAATCTTTATCATTCTTAGCCTGGACAGAATTCAGTAGCTGTACAATTTGTTCTTC